CAACGCCAGGGTTAGGTCGGGCCTGTCCCCCCCCCATACAAGGGGATTTTGGGCGAACAGCTAGATATACCCCAAGCACTCCAAAAATGTTACAACAAATATAAGCATTGCCCCCAAACTATTGTTCCCCACCATCCTGTGGTGGTGGGTCTTCTTCCCCCTCCCGCATGCGCCCTCCACGCCCACTTTGGCACACCCCTCGCACGCTTCGTGGCCCCATGGGGAGCTCCACCAACGCCCCCAATGGGTCCGCCCGCGTGCGCCCCCCACACCGAATGTGGCATTTCACCCACCTAGTACAGCGTTTCGTGTCCCCATAGGGAGCTCCACCGTAGCCCCCAGTGGGACCGCCCGCATGCGCCCCCCACGCCCAATCTGGCATTTTCACCCATCCAGTACAACGCTTCGTGGGCCCATAGGGAGCTCCACCGAAGCTCCCAGTGGGACCGCCCGCATGCGTCCCCCACACGCCCAATTTGGCATTTTCACCCACCCTTTACAACGCTTCGCGGCCCCATGGGGAGCTCCACCGAAGCTCCCAATGGGACCGCCCGCATGCGTCCCACACGCCTAATTTGGTAGTTTCACCCACCCAGTACAGCGCCTCGTGACCCCATACATAGGGAGCTCCACCGAAGCCCCCAGTGGTACCGCCCACATGCGTCCCCCGCACCCAACTTGGCATTCTCACCCACCCAGTACAGCGCTTCGTGGCCCAATAGGGAGCCAGCCCCACCGAAGCCTTTAGTATCCTTTTAATGGGACCGCCCACATGCGTCCCCCACACCCAACTTGGCATAGTCACCCACCCAGTACATCGTTTCGTGGCCCCATCGAACGCTCCACCGAAGTCCCCAGTGGGACCGCCCGCATGCGCCCCCCACGCCCAATTTGGCATTTTCACCCGCCCAGTACAGCGGTTCGTGGCCCCATAGGGAGCTCCACCGAAGCCCCCAGTGGGACGGCCCGCATGCGTCCCCCACACCCAACTTGGCATTGTCACCCACCTAGTACAGCGCTTCGTGGCCCCATAGGGAGCCCCACCGAAGCCCCCAGTGGGACCGCCCGCATGCGTCCCCCACACCCAATTTGGCACTGTCACCCACCCAGTACAGCGCTCCGTCCCCCACACCAACTTTGGCATTTTCACCGACCCAATCCAGCGCTTCGTGGCCCCATAGGGAGCCCCACCGAAGCCCCCAGTGGGGCCGCCCGCATGCGCCCCCCACGCCCAATTTGGCATTTTCACCCACCCTTTACAACGCTTCGCGGCCCCATGGGGAG